CATAACCACAAGATGACTCCAGGACTACCTGTAACCTACAATTGCCCCTGCCCAAGAATTCAGCCAGGTGCCTCAGAATCAACAAGAGGTAGTTTATTGCTCTTTATGAAGCACAGATAAATCGCTTAAGCACATGAGTCAGTAGGAACCAAGTAGTTTTTCTCCAGTGAGACACAACCTGGCATGTAATGTATTACATTGTCTTCTCATCCAGAGCAGTTTGCTTCCTTTTCTAAACCTCTGTGAGTTTTTGAAGCTCTGTAGAGTCTTGAAGGCATAGGGAGAAAATCAATCCTCCTTGAATCAAGCCAGAGATTAATCTTCTTTAGAGAATGACTATTTATGTTTTCTGCTGACAGAAATTATTTTTCCAGAATTGTGAATATGTCAAGATATTTTTAGGAAACATCAGCATTTGCCTGTGTGCTTTATGACCTTATGGTGAGGCCTTCTTAAGGTGCAAAACATTAGCAAAGAATGGTGTAGGTTTCTGCTAGAGAAGTATAAAAAAATATACATGGTTAAGTATTGTGTCAGTAGAGAGCAAATCAATGCATCATTAATAAGAGTAGTATTCCTGGGGAAAAAAAAAAAAAACAAAACAACACACACACAAAGAAACTTAATAATTTTCCAGCAATGGATTTTATAGGACTGCTTGCCTCTACAGAAGATTTCTTAATCTTCAACTGTGTCTGATACAGTCCCCGGCTTCCTTACAATAAACTAAGGTGATACAGCCCCAGTGGAACCAACTACTTCAGCAAATGCCTGGCCTTGAACTCATGAGTACTCCCATCCATTAAATATCATGCTAAATTATTAAATACCATGCTCAACTGAGTCTGAGTAAAAAGCAGCAGCAAGAACAGGGAAAACAAACAAATAAAAAAAAAAAGACACCAAAAATGCAAAGAGACACACTGAAACCCTGATTTTAACATACAGCTTTGAGGTTGGCCAGGTTGGATGAGGCTTTGAGGAAACTCATTTAGTAGAAGGTGTCCCTGCCCATGGTGGAAGGGTTGGAACCAGAGGATCTTTAAGGTCCCTCCCAGCCCAAACCATTATATGATTCTGTGATTCCATGAATTTTCATGAAGAATCCTTTTCCTTTCTTTTGGAAAAAAGAAGTTGCCTTTAGGCATGACAGAATTGAAACTAAATAAAATTATTCCATGGTTAAGGTACAATAGGAATGCTCCAGGCCTTTTTTGTCCTTCAGATCCATTTTCTTGGGAAATAGAATTGGAGGAATAGGAACCTCCAGTAAAAAATCATTGATGAATCTTATTGAGTCAACTTACTTTATTTTTCACTTTTATGTGCACTAACTCTTCTGTGCATAAAGGATAGAATCTGTTTAAGGGACCTCTTTGAATACATAAGGCAAGGTCAAGCTTCACAAAAGAGGTTGCAGGTACCAATTCTCTCAAGTGGTATAAGACAGTACCAGGCAAAAACCAGGCATTGTTTAGTGCTGTAGATGAAATATGAATTAGAAAATAAGCTCAATTTCCCCTAAATCACTTTCCATGCATAATATAGTGGAGACGTTTACATCAATAGTGATGCTTCCAATACTAAAAATTAATATGGGAAGCTTTGAGGAAAAGTAACTGGAGGGAGTAAGAGAGAAACTAAAGGGGAAGGAAGAAAGAATGAAAGAAAATTCTCCAGTCCAGGAAGCACTGTTTCACTGAGATACTTAAGCACTTGTTTAGCTTTCACTGCATATGTGTTTCTATTAAATTCAGTACACTGCTAAATAAGACAGCTTGTTTCCACAACTTCAATTTGTGATGCACTGTAAGAGAGAAACATTGAAATTCAGGTTTGCCTGGCACACCAGTCTGTCATTATTCTCACATTGCAAGGCCACAGTGTCTTTAATTAATAGAATATCATATGACTAAAGTTAAGAATGAAAATTATAGCTTTTTGACTTAACTTTCATATGACACCTGACCACTGCTACAGGGAATACTTAACTGGCAATGAGTTCACATAATAGTCATAGATTCAAGAGATGAAACAAATATTTGATCAGATGAGTATGAAATATGCTTACCAAAACATATTTGCAATATTTTTAATAACACCGAGTGTTCATGAATAATCAATTGACATTAAAGAAGACAGGATAGATTCAGTACATACTCATTCTACAAAATAGTGTACTTGAGTGTCTAGATGCAATTGAATTTTCACCAGTGCTTTGCATAAGAAACTGTACTGTCATATAGTCAAGGTTACTTAATGGCAATGCTGTCATATTTCCTCTATTTAGTGTAGGTTCTATGTATATGCATATGGGGCTCATCAAAATCTACTGTGGAGTGACATCCACATTTTGGCTGAATACAGGAGCAACTGAACTTCTCCTGTGATGGTGTAAAACGGAATGAGTAATGTCACAGTCAAAAGTAATTTACGGTCTGCAGATTTAAGCCTTGTTTATATACATAGTCGCTGCAGTTTAATTAAACTGGTGCCAACCTCCATTTGGACATCCTTCTGGTTTAGTTAGTTTAGTTTAAGCCTATTTTAAGTGATTTACAAATAATCCAAAATATGACTGTCCACACAGAGCCTTCTGTACTATCTTAACCAAATGTCTTTAAAGTCAGATTTTTAATTGACACCAGTAAAACTCAACAAATGGTCTAGTCTCAAATACAGAAGGGATTATATGAAATGCTGCAAAAGATGAAGTCCACCTGATATCTATTAGTGGTAAGTGCAATGCAATAATTTAGAAGCAAGTGCTAAAAGGAGTACAGATGGAACACATTAAGTGAAACTAACAATAATTGCAAAGGCTAATAATGAGAACAGAAAAACTCAAATGAGACTGAACTAGACTCATGGCTTCATGTGTGTCTTCTGTATGCTGGTAGGTATGTTGGGGTGTCTTCTCCAGACTTACATCACTGCCTTCCATGCTGATAAAAGACAATTTGGAAGATGGGAGCCTGTGATAGGAGCAGCCAGCACTGGGATGACATTTCACTAGGCTCCACTGTGTTATCCCTGTTTAGCACAGCAACAGCACCTGCTGGTAGGAGAAGTAAAAAAGCCTTTACAGAGAGGAAGCTTTTGTTTCTTGCTATCTCACAGTACCCCTGGGGTGGGATGGAGGACAAGTATGTATAACAGGCAATTATGAGTACATATAAGTCTGTCTGGGGCAGGCCAAATATATTTTATTGAATCAAATTACTTTGGATTTCCCTGAGAAATCTGTGACTCTGGCTTCCCTTAGCATATCAGCACAAATTCTTCATCTTGTTTGCAATAAGGTTGTTCTATGTATGGCTGCACAGGAAGCTACTGAAAGGTTCCTACAAGCTATTACTTCTCGTAAGCCCATTCACTCCCCTCATCTCATCATCCCTAACTGTGGGAGAAGGATGCCAGAACATGATGTCAGAATTTTCCAGAAATATAAGGACTGGTGCACTTTCTACTCCCATCTAATTCAACAGTCGTGGTTTGCATTTGCTGCCAGACGGCAAACACACTAATTTCCATTGACGTTAGGGGGAAATCATGCAGGCTCAGAATGCAAGAGAAAGGAGCTACTGAGGCATGGACTGAGATGTATTCCAACAGGGCCTTTCAGAGGCTGACCAAACCAGAGGATCTTTTCAAACCATTAGGAAAGCGAATTCAACCAGCTGGACTGTCCTGATAATTTATGATATTACATCCATCCTTTAGGCTTATACATTTTATTTTAAATGGTAGCAATTAAGAAGTTGAAGAGTTGTAATATGGGTACTTCATATCATCATTTATACACTATAGGGTGCTCAGCATGCCTTGCTTCACAAAGGCTATACAAAATATGAAAACATTAGATTGTATCAGTAAGGCTTATATGAGCTTACATTCATCCACATTGATGTAAAAATTTAAACATCTACATAAATTAAAGCATTTACTTAAGAATGTTTCTTAGATGTTTTCCTAGGAAATACGCTATACACTTGGAACAGCATGTCTATATCATATATATATACATATATATATATATATGTTTCTAAAGACACAAAACATCCTGCAGATTATCACTGAATGGTAACTGAAAGGGCACACTATCTTATTAGTTTTGAAAGTTGCTGGTTAGACAAGCATTTCTGTAGTAAAGATTTCTAAGGAAAGTGGTCAATTACCAATACATGATTGAGAATCATGTTGAGATCTGTATGAAATCAGACCCTGATACTGTCTTCCTTGCCCTACTGTAATTTATGTATTTGGTAGCCTGGCCCACTACTGAATACATGCTTAGAGCACATAGCAGTGGTGTCAGAAGCAAAGAAAAAAATTAACCCAGGTTTTGTAAGTATTTTGTTTTCTTTCCTAAGCAACAAAAAAAAAGGTGATCAAACCCTATCATTGTATTGACCTTAACAATAAATATGCCAGTGTATTCACATATTGTTTGCGTGTAATGAATAACAGAATGCCCTGCTTTAAATAGATAAACAAGTAATGTTTAATGTCTCCTATGGAAAGTCATATGTTATACAAACACAGTCATAAAACAATATTGGAGGCTTTATTTTAATCAAGACTAATGTTAAGCCATACGCACTCTTTTTTCAAGACTGCTTCTTACAGTCTTCAGGCAATTACATTTTTACACTTGGAAGAAAAAGAACAAAAAGGATATTGAACTGATTAAAGTTCCTTGCCTAATATTATTCTTCCAGGCATATTCAGTACATGCAATCCACTGTGCTGCAAAACTGAAAATAATCCTATGTTAAAGCAGGACTGAACCAAGACCAGTTAATATATGCCAATAAATAGAAGTCTGGAAAAGTCTTAGTTCTAGATGCTTATGTCCATTTCTACAAACGCTTATGTAATCTAAAACAGAACATGGCTGTGAGTGTCCAGACTGAAGAGGTCATTTTATTCCATTGGCAAAGGAGATAATCTGTTTTGTGTCTGGCTCAAACTTTGCAGTGCATGTATCTGTTTTATAGAACAGAAGACTGTGGTGCACATCTTCTTGGCCATGTGGATGCCTACTTCAATCCAAAGCAGGATTCCTAAGGATTATACTATTGTTCCTCTTTGGCCACAACAGCAGTGAAACTGCTGATTCCCTCCAAATCTGGCACCAGAGAAGTGTTAGCCCAGAGGCAATACTTCAAGAATGTAAGGTGAGGAATATTGAGAAGTGGGTGCAAATCATTTTACCTGAGAGGATTTGCATTCATGGTTTTGGGCTTGTCCTGAAGCAACCAGCAACATCCAGGAAAAAAATAGATGGGCACATTGTCAGTCATGCTGACTCACCCTGGGGTGTTGTTTTCCATGATTCCCTCTATAAGTCTGTTTTACTGTGTCTTATATTTAGATTGCAAGATCTAGGGGGGTAGAGGCGGGGTTGGAGGAACTGACTGTTCCGTGTTTGCACATTGCCCAGGACAAGGACAGTGGGGTACCACATCAGGTCACCCAGAGGGCTACTCCACCATTATCTCTGTTGATACTAAGGCCAGCAACAGTGACATTATGAGCAGGTGATTAAAACACAGAAAGATCCAAAAGCCTGTGGAGCGGGTCATTTTTGTTCCTCTTGATTTGAATGAGAATGCTACAATGAACCAAAGAAACTCAGCCTGCAAGTTTAAAATATACAAAAGGGAATGTTTGTTTTCTCACAGCACAATAATTAAGTTGTGAAACTCATCGTCATATTGGGGATACCTAATGTATCCCCAGTATTGGGGATACCTAGTGTAGGGATACCTAAAAGTAAAAATGAAGATAAGAACAGATTAGGCAAATTTATGGATGATAGGACTGTTGGTGTCTATTAAGCTCAGTGGGGCAGATGCAAACCCAGCCTCATAAAAATCCTCAGATTATGTCTGTGAGAAGGTTGTCAGGAATACCTCAGGAACAATCCCTTTCTACAGATCCTGAGGTTTTTTTTTTTTCTTTCTTATGTATCCTCTACTCACCACTGTTGTAGACAGAACAGCAGGCCTAATAGACTATGTTCAGACTTTACTCTGAATCAGTGTGGTTTTATATACTTAAATGCATGTACCTAAGATCTAGTCGGATAGGACCAAGAAACGGATTTGTGGGTTTTAAAACTGGATTATTTGCTTACTTGTCATAATCTTGATCTTTTTTTTTCTTCATACTTGTGAGTATTGTACCATAAGGGTCCTAGAATCCCAGTATAGCAGAACAGTTGAGGTAGGAAAGGATATCTAGAGGTTAGCTTGTCCAATGCTCCTGCTCAAGCAGGGTCATCTGGAGCCAGTTGTCCAAGACTATGTGCAGACAGCTTTTGAGTATCTCTAAAGATGGAGACTCCACAATTTCTCTGTGCAATCTGTGCCAGTGTTTGGTCACCCTCACAATGAAAAATAATTTTCTGATGTTCAGACCAAAATTTCTGTTTCAGTCTGTGCCCACTACCCCTGGTCCTCTCACTGGGAATCACTAAAAAGAGCCTGGTTCTGCCTTCTTTACACCCTCTCTTCAGATACTTGTACACATTGATAAGGTCCCTCTGATACTTCTCCAAGCTGAACAGTCCCAGGTCTCTCAGCCTTTGCTCATGAGAGATGCTCCAGTCCCTTAAACACTTTCATGGCCCTTTGCTGAACTCCCTCCAGTAGCTCCATGACTCTCTTTTATGTTGGATTTCTCTGGTACTTGGGAGCCCAGAACTGGACACAGCGCTCCAGTGGCTTCTTAAGTGCTGAGTAGAGGGGAAGGATTACCTCCTCGAGAATGCTGGAAATATTTTGTCTAATGCAGCCAAGGATAACTTTAGCCTTCTTTGTGGCAAGGACATATTGCTGTCTTATGGGTCAAATGATATATATAACATGTAGGAGAGCACAAATGACATAGATAACGTGCAGGAGAACACACATGGTCTTAAACATTCAAGTTGGCTTTTTCTTTCTGTGTATGACCAACAGTGTTTTTGCAGTGATAATGCAAATATGTGCTGTGCTATGCTATGTCATCAGCTCAGCTACAGGAGGTGTGCAGAATGGTCAAATATTGCCCAAGGGCATAATTTCAGGAATACAGTGAGCTGCCCCTTTGCATATATTTAATCCTTGACCTCTATGAGGATACTGCCAGCAGGGCTGACAATTAGTGCGAATTGTGGTGGACTTTTGAAGTTAGACAGTAATTTAATTGCTGGCTAAGAGGTGCAACTTGGAAGTCTGGGAATTTTGTGGTCTCATAACTCTCCCTTTTGTCCCCCTTCTAGCCCTGCCATTTCACTGGGTTGTTTCATCAAGTGAAGCAATTATAAAAGCTGATAGCAGTTTTCTCTAAATTGTTGGCAGGGAGCCAGCATTCTGTTACAGAGGTGCGATGCACTGCATCAAGTGGTTGCACTGAGTGATGCTCTGTAATGATGTGATGTGGCTATGTGATTAAATACTTGCTTCCTGCCAAATCATTCTCCCTGGGAAACAATTGTCACTGCACTTAGCATCTCTCCACATTTGAGAGCAATGTGTTGTGCTTTCCTTAGAAGCGAAAGGCTGTTATTGCTAAGGGTGAAAACCTGATGTCTTTGGTACCTTCATTAGATACACTTCCTGAGGCCAAGAACGTGAAGGTTTGGTCTCAGGAAAGTTTTGTCTTTCAGTAGGATACTATTAAACATAGTGAAGAAAACCTACAGCAGGGAAAACACAATTTGAGCTTTTTCCTAACTAGCTTTTCCACACGTTTTCCTCTTCCACCCTCTGTATGCTCTCCACCATCCTTAGTCCAGAGCCTACTCCACACACTGAGAAAGACCCTTTTTTAAGACCTGCTTCCGTACTTTCTAGGTCTCAAAGGAACCATCCAAATCAGCTCCAAGCAACTGCACAAAGTATGAGGCAAAGCCCACTCCTCTGAGAGGCAGTGTTCCCCTTTCCACTTCTCCTATCACCAGTCACTCTCAGTCTCCTAGTCCTCTGCCAGGCTGGCTTTGAAACATCAAGGTAGGAGATTCCTGTGTTGGTGAGAAAGAGCAGACTTGGTAAAGGGCAAATCTCCTTCTGGGCAAAGGTGAGAGAATGCCAAAATAAAAACAGTGATCCTCTGCTTATCTTAAAATCCCTTGAAAATACTGCCAGAACAAAAGATCTACTTTGGTTTTGTAAGAAATCTATATATATGTGCAAGGTAAATCCAAACCTCTGGCAAAGCAGCTACTCTGGACTCCCAGGACTCAGTGGAAACACACCTCTTGCACTGAGCCAAAACACCCTGGGTCCTTGACAGAGCGAGGTCTGAACTGGAGATGGAAAAGAGGGGGACACCTCTCTAATACAGCTAGCACCATCTAGTGACAGCTACCAAAGGGACCTCCAGTAGGGTATAACATTAGAACGTAACAGTATCCATAAGAGCCTATTTATGGAAATAAAAGAAATGCAAAAGTTTTTAGAAAATATGAAAGTTTCTATCTGCCTGCATTGTCCTACCTGTATTAAGCCCCACATGCAGAGTTTTATGCATATCTTCTGCAGTCATGAGGTTCATATGTGATCAGTGAAGCCTCCCCACAAATGCACAGTGACCATATGCTTCCAGTGTTGTCAGGCAGGTCAAAATTGCAATGCACACTGCTCACGTATTGAGCAGTGCAACAATTCCTGGAGGCACTGATAGGTATGTGTAAATGTACAGTACAAAGAAAAGATCTGAAACAGAGCCATAAGAAAAACCTCTGAGGCTTACACTCTATGGCATGAAAATCTACATTTGCACAGGCTCAGAAATGTGCACAAAACTGTACTCCATCAGTGTCCTTTTAGGATACTGTACTCTTGTAGATCAGTTAAAAAGCACATTTATATGAACACACATGATTTCTGACTCTCAGTGAAGAGTATCTCTTTCATCAAAGGGCAACGGTGAAACGTGATGGAACATAACAATCTAGCGGGGTCATATTACTAACTGTTGCCTTTGAAAATTATAGGTACAGTAGATATTGAGTTGATGTTTTTCTTGGCAAGTTGTTTTATCCTTGCAGTACTCTCCTGAATACTCTTTACTGAACCTGCCATGATAACAATAGTGAGGAGGTTTTTCATGCAGTGAAACAAGCAACACTTTCCTAGAGACTTCCTTCACAAATAAACCTAACTTCTTTCTGTTAAACTGATATGACTCTTATGAAATTCTGTGTTTATTTGAAAAATCATCCTTATATCACCTTAGAATTCTATTCTTTTCCTCATGCTACTTCAGGAATTAAAAGGCACAGTGCCCCTATCCATTAAGAAAGTTTGGAACATTGTAGTTTGCTTCACATTTATGGTGAAAAATGTGGAATATATTCTATTGTTGTAAGCTTCATACTTACAATATCTGAAAGAAAACTTAATAAGTAGAAAATATGTACATTACATATATTATTTTTTTATTTCTTCTTACTTTACCCCTTTCAGGCAAATTCATTGCTTATGAAAAATATCCAGCCAGACAAAAGATATTGCCCACTTCTTTAAAATGGGTCAGATCCTCAAATAGTGTTAACTGACATAAGATGCCCCATATGAGAATCTCACTTCATTTTCCCATATTTGAGAATAAAGCATTCACTATGAAAAGATCACTATTTTCACGACATGTATTTATTTTCATGCAGGCTCTAAATAAATGATTATGTGATTTTTTTTCAAACTTTTGAGATTGTTGTACAGTTTTTATATATAAAAATAAATTGATAAATATGTAACATCTGAATAGGAGGCTGCCCTAACACACCTTAGGACATATATGCTCAGAAGAGCCCCAGAAACTTTAAGATTAGCTTTATAGCCTGCAATCAGTTTCCTGACGGCTTATGATGCATATGGGATCTAGCCAGTACACCTTATTAGAGATAGGTGTTCACTCATTTCTAATGCAGACTTTTGTAGACTTCCTCTGAATTCTGCACGCTATTTTTTTTAGCTGAAGGAGATGCCCATCCACCAGAAACTTGAGACAGACATACCAAAATAACCATTTGTGAAAAACTCCCACAGTCTGGATTGCTGCGATTTTTCTGTCTTAAAAGGACCTCTGGAGAGAGGGAGTACCTTCATTTTTTGAACTTGATCCTTGTAATTCCAAATTAATGGCCTTACCAAACTGAGAAATATGACTCAGCTTCTATCAGGACTTT